CCCATTTATCTACTCACGTGAGTTTTCGAACTGTTGGGTCGACAGGAGCTGGGGGACGAAGCAGGAGCTCACTCTCCTGCAGGAAGGCTGGGCTTGAACCGCTGAAGTGTCGACCATTTCTGGCCAGCAACTTTCAGCGTCATTAAGCCACTGCGCCACCGCGTCCCCCTTTAAGAGTGTTTACACTATCCTGAAATATAATGCTCAAAGACTCCCCTCTATCAATATCCAAAGAAACTTCTTTAGACACCTTATTATAGATATTTAATGAACTTATTTGAGAAATATGACTTGGAATAAGAATACCTAAATTGTTAATACGTTCAGTATATGTTTTTGTGTGCGTGTGAGAGAATGACAATAATTATTTAGTGTATTAATAAAAAAACTTTGCCTATTAGCATCAATTCCAACTTAGACCAATTTATAGAGTATTCTGCATTTCACCCAAAAGGTATCCCACAATTTGAGTTTTAGATGGATATTGGATTTTTACTTTTAGACCTCAGCTTTCCTTTATTTTTTGTTTATACCATTAGTCTGTTCCCATCCACTGGCACTATTTATACATACAACATCTACTGATATCTCAATTCAGACCAGCAGCAGTATGGTTTGTTTTTAGTTTAGCATGCTGTTTGAACCTGACTAGTGTGGTTTATGAACTAGGTCTATGAAGCACTTTGGATTTGAAGAGAAATATGTGCTTTTGAGCACCCAGGAGCACGAATATAGCACTTGCCAGTAATGCCTTAAAGCAGTTGCATCTTTTCTCAGATTTACATGGCTGGCCTCTGCAGCTGCCATGTGATTCCATAAACAAAAAAAGTTGGAACTGCAGTAGGTGGGATCTTCACACTCCTTATGCTCCAAAGGATTATTTTGCCTTCAAATCCAAAGTGCTGCCCAAACCAACTATAAACTACACTTTAAATGTTAGAATGATATGTGAATGATATATAATTTATTCAACAAACCATGGTTTAACAGTATGCAAACCCAATTAAAAATTGCATCCAGCATCTCTACTACACTTCTAATAGGCCTTCTACAATGAGAGTGTCTTGTCTTCTCTTCCCTCATGAATGCCTTTAAAATCTAATCTGCAGGTCTATGGGACTCTCTGGGACAGATTTTGGAGGAAGTGCCACAGGAGGAAAGATAGAATCACTCTTTCATCAGCAGAAGTTGCTCCTCTTATATTTTAAATGAAGATAACCCATTCTATTTGTATGTCCCATTAGCAAACTTGTTCAATTTTAGACCAGGAATACAAATAAGAACTCCAGCAGTATCTCAATCTAATCTTTTTTTTTTGGAAACCAATGGCTGAGTACCGGAAAGTCCCATGCCTAGTTTGGTATGAAAATCATATTGCTTATTAGCCATGAAACATTCTGTAATACAGCTTCAGGTACAATAATTGCTTCCTAGGCTTATCTCTAGTATTTGGAAGAGGAAATTCATGAAGATTCACCTCAAGTTTCAGAAGTATTGTGATTGCTTCAAGCAATCATAGCAGCATCACAGAAGTCCCAACTCCAGTAATGTTCTGGAGTTTGTCACAGTTGGCTGTTAGTACTAGAGAAGAGGTGCACTTTTGTAGCTTAACTGTAATAGGTGCTTATATTCACGTAACTGAAAGGTTCATAGGTAGACAATAATAAGCAAATTGAGATGTAACATTATCAGTTTTTAATACAAAGTATGGCTTACATTGCGAAGAGAGGACTCTTTGGAAAAGACCCTGATGCTGGGAAAGATTGAAGGCAAAAGGAGAAGGGGACGGCAGAGGATGGGATGGTTAGAT